ATCTTTCTTAAGCATTGGTATCATTTGAAACAAAAATAAAAACCTAGGTAATACATTCATTTTTATTACTGCTATCCTTCCCAGTAGAGATAGTTGTAGCTTTTTCCAATTTTCCATTTCTTTCTGCACTTTTTGCCAAAGAACTTCATAATTGTTTTTAAATAATTTCGTGTTTGAGGCTGCAATATATACTCCTAAATACTTAACCTTTTTAACTATTTCAAATCCCGTTATTCTCCCTAAATCTTCTCTTTGAGATATGGACATATTTTTAGTTATCATCTTTGTCTTGTGTTGATTTACTTTAAATCCAGATACCTTACCATATTGACCTATTATGTCCAACATATGTGGAGCCGCTTCTATAGGTTGAGATAAAGTAACAACCAGGTCATCTGCAAATGCTTTTAATCTATAATCCTGCTGTCTAATTGCAATTTCTTTTATTTTATCAGAGTCACGTATCTTATTCAACAAAACTTCTAAAGATAAAATAAACAACAATGGAGACAAAGGACAGCCCTGTCTTGTACCTTTCTCAATTTTAAAAACATCTGTTAAACCTCCATTAACTATTATTTGTGCTGTTTGTTCCTGATATATTGCTCTAATTGATTGTATAAAACACTCTCCAAAATGCATTTTTTCTATTATCTTAAACAAAAATTGCCAATTCAATCAATCAAATGCTTTCTCTGCATCCAAAAATATGAACGCTGCAGGGACCTGGTTGTTTTTTTTCCCCAAATATTCCAATAAATTTATAATTTGTCTAACATTATATTTCATTTGCCTCCCTTTTATAAAACCTAATTGATCATTATGAATTGTTTGTTGCATAACTGGCATTAGTCTGTTCGCTAATATCTTGGCAAAAACTTTATAGTCAGTGTTCAAAAGTGATATTGGCCTAAAATTTTCAGGTTTGGTACAATTTTGATCTTCCTTCGGGATCAGTGAAACAAAAGCTGTTCTCCAAGAGGGTGGAACTCCTCCCCCTAATTGAATTTTACAAAATAAAACTCTAAGCGGTTCTACCATTTCAGACTGTAAATTCTTATAATAAACAGCTGTTAATCCATCTGTTCCCGGAGCTTTCCCTATTTTTAACTGCTTAATTGCTGCAATAATCTCCTCAGAAGTTATTGGCTGATTCAATCCTTCCCTCTGTTCTAACGTTAATTCAGGAATATTCTCTTCCTTTAAGTATCTGTCTATATCTATACCTTGTATTGAGTCACTAGCATATAACTTTGTATAAAATTCTAAAAAAGCCTTTTTGATCATATTCTGTTGGTGTACTTCCTTACCTCTAAATTCTATCTTACCAATGACTCGTGATTTCTGTTTTTTCCTCAGCATATAGGCCAACCACCTACCTGGTTTATTGGCATTACAAAATATATTATATTTAGCATATTGTAAACTAGTTGCCACCTGATCAGCCATTAACATATTAAATTGCTCTCGTTGTATATTTATTCTTTCTTTAATTTTCTTATCTCCTGGATTGAGTATAAGTAATTGTTCTTTCTTTTTTATTTCTTCCTCTATCTCTTTCCGCTTCTTTTGTTGTTATAATCTATGTTTATTATTCATATGTATTAAAGTATGCCTCATATAAGCCTTACTAGCATCCCAAATCATTTCCATAGAAGCACCCTTATGCATATTAATAGCAAAAAATTCTTTCATTTGTTTTTTAAACTCATTCACATTTTCTTCATATCTAAATAAATTTTCATTTAGCCTCCAGGACCTCCTTTTTCCCCTCTCTTGTTCCAATTCCACCCAAACCGGACTATGATCAGTTAAAGTTCTTGGACATATCTTCATCTTCTTCACCCTAGAAATAAAATCATTTGTGGTTAGTATAAAATCAATCCTGGAGAAGGATTGATGTCTATCAGGAAAAAAAGTAAAGTCTCTCTCCTCCTCATTGCGTTCTCTCCAAATATCTCTCAGTTCTATATCTTCCATCATATCAAAAAAGGATTTAGGTAATTTCGCACATGTTGAGATCTTTGATAAACTTTTTTTATCTTTCTGTGTATCTATTACTCCATTCCAGTCACCCATTAATATAAAAGATGTATAATCCCATTGTATTATTTTAGTATGTATATGTACCATTAACATTCCAAGATAGGAATTTAGTTGCCATCTTTAGCCTTTCGAAGCCTCATGAGCATCAGTTGAACATCCTCCTCCACCTTACTCTTCGGCCTAGCCCCCCCCCCACTGCTTCTGTTTTTTGAACTTCTTGAGGAAAATGTTGAGGTTGTTGCATTTTTAATTGTTGTTCTGGAAGTTTATAAATTGCTCGGGTCAGTCGTTATTCTCTTGGCTCTCCCTTCTTAGATGGTTCCAGAGTTGGGGGTAGGCCCCCAAGATCCAGGTCTTCTTCCATGGTGATTCCTCCAGCTGCAACTTCAGCATAAGTTTGTTTCTGCTTTCCATCTTTTTCTTCTTGTAGCATCTCCATTTTCTTTCTAACCCCCCCCCCCGGTGAGGGTGGGTATCCAGCCTTTAGAACATTAACATAAAAATCTTTTGCCTTCCAAACTGTGTTTAACCAGTATCTTTCTCCACTATAAGTCACTATTAAACCAGTTGGAACATCCCATCTGTACGGCACTTGTTGATTTCTCAGTTCATTTACCAAAAAGCCAAAATCCTTTCTGCTTCTTAACATTTTTGGAGGGATCTCTTTCAAAACCGCCACTTCTTGCCCAGCCACTTGAACCTTATTCTTGTAAGAAGCTTGTAAGATGTTGTTTCTAATCCTCCTGGTTGTAAAATAAATCACCACATCTCTTGGCAACTGTCTTTGTCTTGCCAACCAGGAGTTAACCCTGTAGATTTTATCAATTCGACTTGCCACATCTTCTGGTCTTTCTTTAATTATCTCTGCAATAGCTTCAGCACAAATGTCCTTTAGATTTTCCTTACTATTTTCTTTCAGGCCTCTCAATCTCAAGGCAAATTCCATGGATCTATATTGTAACATTACCAATTCATCATCCACCTTCTCTGTTTTAGTCATAATATCTCCTACTTTGTTTTCCAAATTCAAATTGGCCTCATTGATTTCTTCCACTCTCTCTTCCACCTGAATAACAAGTTTTGACAATCCTGAGACTGCAAAAACGATATCATCTCTTATTTCATCATGCTTTACTGCAACAACTTCTTTAATTGACTTTATATCTTCCTCAAATTTCTTTAATTTCCCTTCCACAATTACTGTTAGGTTATTCATAGCTGCAGCTTGGTTATTCATGGCTTCTTTCATAAATTCTTTGAGATCATTAAAAGCAACCTCCTGACTCTGTGAGTCAGCCTGAAGTTGTGCTTTCTGTGTCACTACAGACACTATTGGAGAACCTCCTCCTCCTTTAGCAACTCCTGGCTTAACTTGTTTAGAAGCCATCTTTTTTTTTTTAAAGGATCTTTTTTCCTTTCAAAGCCACAAAATCCCTTGAACAATTTTCAAAAGCTTGTAATTTATAGTCTCTAATTTATCAAGCAAGATAGTCTTTTCTCCACAAACTCTCAATTCTCAGCAGCTTTAATCCACTTTCACAGTGCAAAGTTCTCAATAAGCACTTTCGTTTCTGACTTTCACTTTCACACCCATAACAAAGGTGCCATCTTCAGCCTCCAGCTCAAGGAAATTCAGTTAGAAACAATGTAAGTCCGGAGTTAAGCACTGTTACTTTAAAGCTTGTTCTCCTGTTTCCGCTCTGCCTGCGCTTGTAATCAATTAAACTCACTTTTGCCAGCAGGATTGGACGCGGCGTCTGGCTCTGTTTAAACAGAGTTGTCCCGGATTCGGAGCTTCTTAGTGGGCTGACTGGGGAGCTCTCACCCTCCAAGCCTCTGGAATTATTCCAGAGGACTTTTGGGGAGCTCTACTCACACCCACCGGCTCTCCTCTCCTTCTCCCAATGGAGAGGTTTTTCAGCCGCCAGACAGCCGATTAGCGCTGTCAAAGCGGCTTTTACGAAATCGCGGGGCTGGTGGTCTAAGGAGACCGTCCACGACACCTGCGGTGCCAACCGGAAGTCGGAACATATCATCTTTGGTGGCCTTGCCTGGCGGCAAATATTTGATTTTACATATTATAATGGCTGCATGAATATCATTTGCACAAAATTGGAAAAATAAAAATACACTAACAGAGAAGGAATGATAAAAAAAATCTTAGAGTGTGCCGAGATGGACAAATTAACAAAAGAACTTAAAGAAAAGGAAGATATGTATGTAGTATGGAATAAATGGTACAACTGGCTGAAGATTAGAAATAGTGAACAATAAGAACAGGGGAGAAATTATAAATGTAAAATGTTTATAGGATAAGGTATAAAATGTACAAAATTAATATCATGATTGTTAGGAATTATAATGTAAATAAGAGAAAAAGGGACAAGAAGGAAAAGTACAGTATAAGGGGAAATGGGGGAAGATGTAAATATTAGAAGATGACTGTTACGAAACAGTTGTAAAAAAGGAATTTATATTATGTGTTTTGTGTTTGTTGTGTTGTGTTATAAATAAAAATTAAAAAAAGAATATCAGAATATAAATAATATTTCCTTTCCTCTGTCTTAAACAGAAAGTATCAACCTTAATATAAGATTGGGTATCTCCCTCCAAAAGGCAAGAACCACAATTTTAGAAAAGCAGTTAAAAGGAGGCTTATCAAAGGCAATTGCAGAACAACAGTATACTGTTATGCTGCAAATGTAACTTTGCCTAAATTTTCTTGATGACAGAGCTTCTTCTGTATCATTTGCAAAGCCAGCACAGTTTCCCAAATGCAGGTTATTTGCTCCCCTCTCTCAAAGTATTTAAGGTGTTTTGTAATACAAGGTTGTAAAACAGAGGAGTTGCTACTTTCCTCTAACTCTCAATACCCATGCTGAAAAAGGCAGCTTCTTGAATCGCGTGACTGAAACTTCCCTTACTTATTTTTCTTCTGGGTTTTTATTTTCCAGCTCAGAATGGATAGTAGCAAGAAAGAGATGCTGGATCAGAAGCCTCTCTTGGAAGTACAAGTATTACTCTCCATGGATTCTGCTCCGGATAGAGTCATGGATGGAGGAGCAGGGGGACTTACAGGGGAAAAGATACCCTGGGAAATGATCGCCCCTGTTTGCAGCTTTGAAAAACTCTGAATCATTCAGCTTTTGGAGAGCAATAAGTTTTGACCTGCTATTCTAGCATGCTGCCTGATCATTTGATGCCTGGTCATTTCTTTAATTGCTGAAAAACGTGATGAGCTGCTGCCAAGAATCCCATAAGGAGGATTATCTACAAGCCAGTGAGGGCTTCCTCATTCTTCAAGAAGGACATTAATAGTGAAAAATTAAACAATTATAACTGAAATGAAGGTCTTCTCAAAGATACTATCAGAAATGCTAACAACATGCATGGTCAGAAGGTGAATGCTGTGGGGAGCAGCAAAAGATCTTTCTGCTGGTGGAAATCTTGATCTATATGCAGCAAACAATTCAGATAATTGCTATACTTTTGAGTGATCAGAACTTGAGAGTATTTGATGACAGGTTCATCTGTCATTGCCTTACTGGAATTTCTTTTATAATTAAGTTTCACTGCCAACACTTTCAATAGATTTCACCCGTGATAAATGTAAGGCTGGCCCTTGGAGCAATACCACAAAGTGGGAAGAAAAGGGTGGGTAGTTCCATCATCTCATCATGGTGCTTCCACCTCCAGATAAGCACCATGTGTGTCTTACTACCATTGTTATTATGACCAGCATGGCATTCATGGATGCTTATCTGGTAGAGCAGAACCAAGGGCCTCGTAAAATTGGTGTCTGCATCATAGTTCTGGTAGGAGACATCTGCTTTTTGATTGTGCTGCGCTATGTGGCCGTCTGGGTGGGGGCTGAGGTGAAGACAGCCAAACGGGGCTATGCTATGATTCTTTGGTTCCTCTATATCTTTGTGCTGGAAATCAAACTGTATTTTATATTCCAGAACTATAAGGCTGATAAGAGAAATCTGGAGACGGTGGCTAGAAAGGCACTGACCTTGCTTCTCTCTATTTGTGTGCCAGGATTATACCTAGTGCTAGTAGCCTTGGACAGCATGGAATATATACGTACCTTCCGGAAGAAAGAGGATTTGCGAGGGCGTCTCTTCTGGGTGGCCTTGGACTTATTGGATATCTTAGATATTCAAGCCAACCTGTGGGAACCACAGAAGACTGGTCTGCCAATCTGGGCAGAAGGACTCATGTTCTTCTATTGCTACATATTGCTCCTGATCCTGCCCTGTGTTTCTTTGAGTGAGATTAGCATGCAAGGAGAGCATATTGCTCCCCAGAAAATGATGCTCTACCCTGTCCTGAGTCTGGTGACCATAAACATGGTTACCATATTCATCCGAGCCATTAATATGGTCCTGTTTCAAGACAGCAGAGTCTCTACAATCTTCATTGGCAAGAATATAATTGCCATTGCTACCAAGGTCTGCACATTCCTAGAATATAAGAAGCAAGTGAAGGAGTTCCCACAAAATGCCATTGCACTTGAGCTCCAGCAGAACTCAGTGCCCCACAACCAGACCCTCCACAATACACAAGGCCTTCCTCATGAGCCATCCCCCACCAGGGAGATTTTGGACACATGATGAGCCTCTTCTTAGATATCAGCATTGGTTCTTGTTTGCTTGGGTGGAGAGAAGGGGCAAAGAAGTAATACTGCTCTCATCCCAGCATAGAGAGTTGCTTCCAGCACAAGATTTTAACAAATGGAGGAACATCCCCTGCAACTCAGGTATTTCCAAGGGGCCCTCTGGAAAGAAAGCAAAACCAATGGACCTTCCAAAAAGAACCTCATCCACTCCAGCATCTGATCTTTTCTATCTGTTTGTTACCTGTGCTTCAACTTGTAAGAAATGAGAATTTGTTATCACAGCCTTTTTTAAAGAAAGGGACAGGGCGGGATGGGGCAGGATGGGAGAATCAGGACTGGCACTTCAGTCAGCGCACCAGTATATTGAGTCTTATTGGAAATGGTTGTGTTTACAGTTTCTTATTTTCAAACAAAACAAAAACAAAAAAAGGTCCCGTATAATCGCTGCAGAAAACTGGATTTGGGGCAGTTTTTTAAATCTTTGCTAAGTAGATCCTTTGCTCTGTTCAGTTCCTCTCAGCAAGCAGCAGCCTCACTCATTCGGCCAGGAAAGTTCTAACATTGCCAAAGTCTTCAGCCAGCCCTTCAAAGAATCTTATTTAACATCACATCTCATATTTTAAGAACATTTATTATAAATCATTTATAAAATGATTCAGTGCAAGATTTCTATTTTTCAGAAAACAAGTATTTCTGTTTCATTCACATGTATGCACACTTCAGTTCTGATGGCATGAAGTTCCAGAGCTTTTCAGGCTACACTGGCCTGGGAAAATATACAGGTAGTACTATAAATGGAAACTGATATTCTCAGAATGATGAACATTCACTTTTATTCCTGCAGCAGCTTAATTTATAACTCTGCTGCTTTTATATGAACTACACAGACTGCCTCTAAAATAAGGCATGGGACAATCCCTTTACGCAAGAACTATTGGGACACAAAACAGAGCAACAGTTTCCCAGCAAAAATGTTGCACAAGCCTGAAAGCAATGCAAGACTATTTTTTTCTTAATGATCTCCCATCCTCTCACTGGTGTCTTGATCACATACCAACAGATTTTTCCAGTGTATGCTAATTCAGATACCAGATTGGATACCTCATTTGGCCATGCATATCCATTCCTCACTTAGCAACCTGAAACAAGGAATCAAATTTGGTATTTTGCCATACTATCCCCCATAAAAATATATAGTCAATCTTATTGTGGTGGGATTTACTATATGCTTTTAAAGCTCAGTCTTGTCAGTAGGTAAGGGTATGAACATTTGGCCTATAAATTGAAAATATTCAACTTGTTCATTACAGCGGACAATAAAAGCAAAAGAATTGGCAGAAGAGAATCTAAACATTCTTGTATAAAGTAGCCATTCTCTCAGCCAAAAAAGCAGTAGAGGGGAATATAAAGGGAAGAAGCACTAGGAACATAAGTTTTGAAGATATTACATATCCTGAAACATGCAAATGTTTAAGGATAATGCAGTCTTGCTCTGGATCTGGGGTAGGGTATTGGGCATTAACCAAGTCACTACCTACATTGACCTTACTGCTCTTACTAGTTTACTAATTTTAGGCTCCCAAAACATGTTCAGGGTGTTGCTATCCCTGAAGACTATATGAAGATGCTTAGTGCATTTCATTATTTTGTCAATTGTCTCAGGTCTGTGTGATGTAGCTCCAAAAAGTTTAGTTACACCTAGACCTGTGCATTTTATTTTGTTTGAAGATCATTCTATGTAATAAAGGGTTCTGGACACCCACCCACCAAGCTTTCTTTTTTGACATGCGTATTTTCCTTTTGTGGTTATTGTTGCTCTTATTTATCCAGAAGTTAGCATGCCCCCTATGAATATCAAAGGTAAGAGCAATGATTTAATTTTTGAACAAAGAGTCTTGTTTTCTTTCTAGTTTATGCGAAAAGGACATTAATTGATTAGAGCAGACAAGATCCACAAACCACTTTGTGAAAGAGAACCCTTTCAACATAAATTCATCAGAAGAATATAGTTTTTAAAGAAACATGGTTGAATAATTTGAGAAGGTACAAGGAAAATGACTGATTCAAAATAGCATTTCATGTGCCAAAGAGTAGCATCAGAAAGGACAATGATATCCATGAATAAGGATTTTATTTTATCAAACCAACTCCTAATTCTATTGGGCTATTGTAGGTTTTCTATGCAAAATATATAATATACTATAATAAAATATAATAGGTTTTTCATTATATTAAATTATATTTAATTTAAATATTAAATATATATATGACCTAATTCCAAGCGTAAACCATTAAATACCAAGTCAAATAAGGAGGTAAGGAGTAAAGAGAAAGGAGAAAAATACAGATATAAAGTAGATGTGGTAAACATACCCAGAGTAAGCTACAAAAAACTTAAATGCCTATACACTTAATGCTCAAAGTTTACAGAACAAACAGGATGAACTCGAAATACTAGTACATGAGGGCAAATATGGTATAATGTAGTTGCCATTACAGAAACTTGGTGGGATGAAACTCATGACTGGAATGTACTAATAGAAAGATACAAACTTCAAAAGAAACAGACCTAACAAAAGAGGAGGTGGAGTTCCATTATATCGGGTGTCAAATTCAAGGCCTGTGGGGCAAATCCAGCCTCTGAGGTGCTTAAATCTGGCCTGTGGGGCTGGCCTGGAAATAGCAAAGGACCGGTCCGTGGTGCCTCTGGCAGTCAAAATGGGGCATGGGGGTGCACAGCCCGGATGGCCTCCTGCAACACTCTGCTGGCCAAAATGGGGCATGAGGAGGCCACACGAGCCCCCCCTGCACCCCATTTTCAGCCTGGACAGCTTTCTGCAGCACTTGCCAGTCAAAACGGGGCATCGGGTACACGAGGCCCCCCCCATGCCCTGTTTTGGCCAGCAAAGTGCTGCAGGAGGCCGTCCAGGCCAAAAAGGGCATGGGGGGGAGGATGCCCCATTTTGGCTGGCAGGGTGTTGCAGGAGGCATCCGTCCCATCTCCTCCCCTCCCCTGGCCAGCCCAAAGAGGAGAACTACAATGCTAATCCTCGAAGAAATCCAGTTTGACACCCCTGCATTATATGTCAGAATTCACTTCCTCTCTACAGAGATGCACATAACAAAGGATGAAAGCTTTCTACAATGCATATGGGTCAACATAAAAGGAAAAAAACCAGTAGCATTGCCATAGGTGTATACTACAGGCCACCCAACCAAGTAGAAGAAGTAGATAATCTTTTTGCTACTCAGTTAAATGTATGTAGGAAACACCACAGTAGTAATGGGGGACTTTAACTACCCTAACATCAACTTAGAGGCAAACTGCATCAAGTGGGAGTTCAAACAGATTCCTGACCCAGCTAGCTGACAACTTCATCACCCAAAAGGTAGAAGAGGCAACTACAGGGACAGCTATATTGGACCTTATTCTTATTAAGAGCGAAGAAGTGATAGTGGGGATTGAAGTTGCAGGAATTTTAGGGGAGAGTGACCCTGTCATATTAGAATTCAATATAAAACAAACACAAGCAACAGAGCATAATCAAACCAGTGTCTTAGATTTTTAAAAAGCTGATTTCAACAAACTCAGAGACAGCTTGGGAAGGATACCATGGATGAAAATCTTAAAGGAGCAAATCGACTGAAGAAGCTTGGGAAACTCAGAAAAATACAATTATAAAAGCCTAGCAAGTTGAATACTACTAAACAAGAAAAACAAGAAATCCAAGAAAAAAGCCAACATGGTTTTACAAAAGACTCTCAGACTAATTGAGAGGGGAAAATAAGAACAAAAAATGGAAAGAGGGACACATAATTAAGGCAGAATACCAACAAATAGCCCAAACCTGTAAAACTGAAGTTAGGAAAGCTTGAATAATGTAAAACTTGCAACAAATGTCAAAAACAATTTTAAAAGTTTCAACACAAGAGTCAAAAAAAACAATCCACTAATGGGAAAAGATGGCAAAGGAATAACAGGCAATAGAAAGAAAACAGAAGTGCTTAATTCATACTTTGCATCTGTCTTCAAGCAAAAAGAGAACAATACTCAACATTCCAAAAACAGAACTGTAAATTACAGGTTAGGAATGCAAATTAAAATATGCAAAAATGAGGTAAAAGTCAGCTTTTAGATGGATGCAAATCATCAGGTCCTGATGGACTACATGCCAGAAGTCTGAAGGAACTGGCAGACATGATTTCAGAACCATTGAAACAAAGACCATGGAGCACCAGGGAACTACCTGAGGACTGGAAAAGAGCTGATGTGGTTCCCATCTTCAAAAAAGGGAGGAAAACATATGCAGAAAATTATAGACCAATCAGCCTGACATCAATATCTGGGAAGACTTTGGAAAAGATAATCAATCAACAAATCTATGAACAGCTACAAGCAACAAGCCAATATGGGTTCATGAAAAAAAGATCATGCCAAATCAATCTTATTACATTCTTTGACAAAGTGACTAAATTAGTGAATCAGTGAAATGCTGTGCACATAGCAGGGGTGAAATGCTACTGGATCGGACCGGATTGGCCGATCCGGTAGCGATGATGGCTGGTAGTTCGGAGAACCAGTAGCAATGGCAGCTGGAGGCTCTGCCCACCCGCCCACCCACCCCATTCCCCGGAGTCGGGGAATGCACCATTCTCCGACTCCGGCCTTGTCGCGGAGCCGCTGCCTGCTTGCCTTTCGCCACGCGGTGTATCCTACTGCTCACCTTTCTCCCGTGGCTGGCTGTCAGGGAAGGCAAGCACCCAAAAGTTACCAGAGTCGCTCACTCTCCTTCTTGAATGAGCCACCACCATCGCCGCTCTGGTCCATGCGCCGGCTGTGCAAGCGCACACCGTTTATTTAATTCACTCATCAGCGGCAGGTTGGGTGTGCGCTTGCGCAGCCGGCGCGTGGACCAGGGCGGCGATGGTGGCAGCTCATTCAAGAAAGAGAGTGAGCGACTCCGGTAATTTTTGGGCGCTTGCCTTTCCTGACAGCCATCCGCGGGAGAAAGGTAAGGACACGCCGCTTGACAATGAGAGAGCGGGCAGTGGCTCCAGGGCAAGGCTGGTATCGGGGAATGGTGCATTCCCCAACCTGGTTGAGGCAGGTGGTTGCCCCAGGGAATGGCGCATCCCTGGGCCCTGGCCCCCGCCCCAAAGCGAAGAGAGAGCGGGTGGCGAGTGGGTGGCAGAATAGAAATTTTAAAAGTTTTCCTACCGGGTTCTGTGGGCGTGGCTTTGTAGGAGGGAGTCTTGTGACTGAGTGGGCATGGCTGTGAGTGACATCAAGTTGGCCATGCCCAATCACTCACAGGACACCCCCCCCCCCCCACCAAATCACGCCCACAGAACCGCTAGGGAAAATTTTTAGATTTCACCCCTGGCACATAGTATACTTAGATATCAGTAAAGTATTTGATAAAGTAGACCACAAGCTACCTCTTGGCAAGCTAGAAAAATGTGAGATAGACAACACCACCACAAGATGGATTTATAACTGACTTACTCAACATGTAATTCTCAATGGAACTATGTCCGCATGGAGAGAAGTAAGTTGTTCCATTTAAGTTTCCGTACTCTTCAATATCTACATAAACAATCTATACAAGGTAATTGAAGGGAAACTCATCAAATTTGCAAATGACACTAAGCTGGCAGGAATAGCCAACATCCCAGAAGACAAACTCTAGATCCAAAAATATTTTGACAGACTTGAACAACGGGCCCTATCCAACAAAATGAAATTCAATATAGATAAAACTAAGGTTTTACACTTAGGCAAGAAAAACTAACTGTATAGATATAGACTAGGTGAAACTTGGCTTAATGCCAATAATTGTGGGAGGGATCTTGGAGTACTAGTGGACAACCATTTAAATATGAGCCAATGGTGTGCAGCAGCAGCCAAAAAGCCAATGCAATCATATGCTGAATTAATAGAAGGACAGAATAAAGATCATGTGAAGTTTTAATACTGCTTTACAAAGCGTTAGTAAGAGCACACTTGGAATACTGCATCTAGTTCTGGTCACCACAATATAAAAAAATATGTTGAGACTCTGGAAAAAGTTCAGATAAGAACAACAAGAATGATTAGGGGGCTGGAGGCTAAAACATATGAAGAATGGTTACTAATGGAAAGAAGGACTACAGGAGACATGATAGCAGTGTTCCAATATTTGAGGGACTTGGGCTCCTACAAACATGAGAAGGTCAAACTATTTTCCAAAGCACCAAAAAACAATGGATGGAAACTAACCAGTTTCCAAGAGCCTTGATAGTACAGTGGTCTAAGCACCCTGTTATTAACACAGCTGCCTGCAATTTACTGCTGGTTCGAATCTCTCCAAGGCTCAAGGTTGACTCAGCCTTCCATCCTTTCTAAGGTAGGTGAAATGAGGACCCAGTTTGTGGGGGCAATAAGCTGACTTTGTATAAATATACAAAAGTATGAAGGCTTAACGCATTGTAAGCCGCCCTGAGTCTCCAGAGAAGGGAGGCATATAAATCAAATTAAAAAAAACAAAAACAAAAACAAAAAACCAGAGAGAGAAGCAACTTAGAACTAAGGAGAAATTTCCTAATGGGCAGAGCAATCAACCAATAGAACAGCTTGCCTTCAGAAGTTGTGGTGCTCCATCACTGGAGGCTTTCAAAATGAGACTGGACAACCATTTATCTGAAATGGTATAGGGTCTCCTGCTCAAACAGGGAGTTGGACTAGAAGATCTCTAAGATCTCTTCAACTCTATTATTCTATAT